CACTGTAGCATTGATTGGACGTATTGGCTTCAATAACACCAAATCAACACATCTCTCCTATTTAGCTGTGCCAGTGATTTATTCTATCTGACTGGCCTTTAAAATGATCCTCTTGTGTCACCTGGTAAAGGATGTCTGATCTCCCATGACCTCTGCCTGATTTTAGCAGAATGGAACATTTGTGTGGTATTCTTGATGAATACCCGCAATGGCGGCCTACGAGTGGCTCAGGGAAAGCAACTGTATTAATGCATTATAGTAATTTATTGGCAGTTTTGTGTGATAGCAGATTTACTGAAATAAGGCCTGCCAAGAAGATCAGGTTACAGCAGGAATACATGATTTCCTAACCATCCATAAAATATAAATCAAACGTTTTTTCTGTCCACTGTCAGCCACCTCCACCCACTCCTTGTCCTCAGTCTTCAGACAAATTGAAGCACATGCCACAATTTGCACGGGGAAAATCAAACTCAATTTCGCAGTACAATGAAGTAAGTTTTGGTCTTGTCATGTCCACTGACATATTGATCCCTTGAAGATGGAAAAGATCAGAATGCTGTGGAGTTTTGCTTTTATAAATATATGTGTGTAAAATGCAATGTGTAAATGAAGGAAAATATAGTACTTATGGAGTTTTACAAAGTTTCGAGAGGTCCAGGGGGCTAATGTTATAAAAGAGTATTATAATATAAAAGCCACTATTTAAGAGATCACATTTTCTTTCCCTTTAGAGTTACATCTCTGGAAGACAAATGGTCTCCTAACCCAGGTTCATTTAAAGTGCAGCTGATCATTCCACAGCTAAAAGGAATTTTAACTAGTAAAGAAGAAAAAAAACCACACACCCTATCTTGGCCCTTTGTAAAATTTAGGTCAGATCTATAATGCAATAAGCCCAACACTCTATCAGACATTTTCTATGTAACCTGAAAGGGGACTAAGCCAAATCACTTCCATGTCTACATTTATGATTTGCAAAGTGTGGTGATTGCAGCCTCCATGAAATGTGTAAAGATCTCACAGTTATTCACGTCTATAGATAAAGCATTAAAAGATGGAAGCACTCTATTATAAGGTGATGATGAAATTGTAAGAAACACCATAAATACCCTAGAGTCTTGTAAGCTACATTTTTAACTCAGCAGGTGGGAGAAAAAAAAATGAGGAAATGAATCTGTTTTCAGGTAGGCAGAATTTCAGTCGTTATGACAACAGAATGGCTTTCTAATTACCACTTACTATAAAAATATTGCGAAATGCTCTGCAACCCCATGGAGACTATTACTGCATAATACGTTTTGCCCTAGACTCATGTAAAACTGCTGCAAAAATAGCTCTGTGTGCCTTAATGGGAGGAAAACTAAGGCACAGACTGATTGTGTTGACCATGAAAATCTACAGGGAGGGGAACAACACACACTGGGGCCTGTCGGTGGGTAGGGTGAAGAGAGGAAGAGCATCAGGAAAAATAGTTAATACATGCGGGGCTTAATACCTAGGTGATGGGTGCAGGAAACCACCATGGCACACGTTTAACTATGTAACAAACCTGCACATCCTGCACACATACTCCAGAACCTAAAATAAAATAAATTTAAAAGAAAATTCACACACAGGAATTTGAGTGGGGAAAGAGCTTCTTCCTTGATCCCAATCTCAAAGCTTTCAAAGTAGAAGTTTCTCATTTAGCATGATCTTTAAAAATTAGAGCAATGCCCCACATTACCATATTCTAAAGTAATTACTTATGGTAAGTAAATATAAATTCATCACTAATTATGCAGTCCTTTCTTGTGAAATCCACAGTAAAATTATTTGAGGTATTTTTTTTAAAAAAGCTGACAAGAGAATGACTTTACTTCATCAATCAGTTTGACTAAAGTAATGATTTTCTTAGAATTAAAACTTGTTGAAAGCGCTAAGTATTTCATCTTTAAGTCTAAGAAGCATGTAGTTAATGTCACAGCTAATACATTTGTCAGTCTGCTAATTTTCTTTTTCTATTAGAATAAGTAAACATCAGCCCTTTTAAAAAGCATGCTATTTACCATGTGTCAGGAGCAATGCAGGGAGAACTTATTTGAAAATCATGAGGTAAGGCATTATGAAATGAATAGGAATCATAGGAAGATAATAAGAGAGAAACACGAAAGATATAGTAATTTAATAATTCCAAAGGGATGGCGGGGCATGCCTCAAGTTGAGTGGGGGAGAGTGGCATTTAAAGAGGAGCTATAAAAAACATAAAATCAAACAAAAACTCTAGCCAGAGATATCTGAAAATAGGAAAGAAGAGATGGCTTGAGAGAAAAAGTTCAAAAATAAAAACAAAAGAAGGCTCTTAAGTGTACAATGAAAATTTAAAAAATGAGATTTTGCCTGGTTGCCACTAGATCAGAGAATTTTTTTTGGCTCTTCAGACATGCTTATTATTTGATGAAATTAGTACAGAAACAGCACAACTGATTCTATTTCCCTTCTATGAAGGACATAATCCACTAATTTATACTGCGTTATATCAGATTTTGCTTTAGGCAGCTTTGGCATTAATGTACTTAGAAGAAAATAACTAGTTAAAAAGTGCCAATTCTCTGTTCCATCTATCAATCATCAGATCTTCTTTTTTTAAAAAAGTATCCTTTTGGTATTGTAGCACTCCAGAGCATAGGTTGATTTCCAAATCTTGTGTCCCAAACTAAATATCACTGGTGCAGTAAAATTTTTCATATAAAGTAGCCTCCAGAATGTCATTTTCAGTGTTTTATTCTTAAAATTTTTACTTGCAAGCAGAGAGAAATATTAACAGCATAAACTGCTGCAACTGCACTTTACTTTTTGTTGCTATCAAATTGGTCCTCTTTACTATAGAATTGTTAAGGCTCTTACCTTTCCTCATCAAAATCTGATGAGAAAATATATTCTTCAGTCCAGAATTATTTAAGACGTTTCTTGATTTTTTCTTTTAATGATTCAACTAATTTAATGACTTAGTAGTTTTATTAGTCTTTGTTTTTCTCATTAAACAAATTAGACATAAAATAAAAGGCACAAATTAGTTTCTAAAATTTGAGAACCCAGGTTTTCTAAAGTTGAAAAGAGCAAGGAAAAGGTACATTACTTACTTGCTATAGACTTAAATAAGCTACTTAAATTATCTGTGCCTCAGTTTCCTTGTGCATGAAATGGGGTTAAGACTAGTAGCTACCTCACAAAGTTGTTTAGAGGATCAAATGAGATGTGATAAGCCTTCAGAATCATGCCTGTCCTACAGGCCTGTGCATTAAAGGCTAGTTATTGTTAGCAGTTGCAATTAACCTGTCAACTATCTTGAATACTAGTTTCCTTCAAGGTCTATTTCCCTGGGTTGTGCTTGCAGTGGGGAAACAGAAGCAGCCAGAAATCACAAGGAAGCATACTCTTGGCACCAAAATTTCATTAAATGAATGCTCTTGCTTCAAGTTGTCTCTGCCTCAATTATCAAAGACTTAATAGTTTTGGGGTCATATAAAGTAGCAGATCCTCCGCATAAAGTGTGTGTGTGTGGAGTGTGTATGCATGGGAGGGTGGAGAGAGGGGCTTGGGCAATACAGACTTTTTTTAAGTCCCTATGTGGGATTTGCTGGGTTGAGAAGTGCTATCTCCTGTAGAACGAAATCATGACATGTGCTGAGCCTATGTGTCAAGCGAGACTCCATAGTGGAACGTGCATTCCAACCAATGGAATCCTACATGCCTTCATGCTCCACCCCACCTCCCAGGGGCTGCGTAGCTGAGTATACATATTGCACATCATGTAAATGTTGAGAACATCAGAGGTGATGTGTACAAATCAACTAATGTCATCTCAGCAACTAGATACATTCTTAATATAAAATAACATTTACGCTTCATAGACAATCATATTTTTCTAGCTTTTACAGTTATTATGTGGCTCATGTACTAATGCAACAAAATAAATTATTGTAGGTCTGAGTAACAAAAAAGTAGTCAAAGGTATTAGCATAATGTAGATTAACCCAGTTCGGCTGCCTGTGCTAAGGAGGCCATCTCAGATTACTTAGAACTATGAAATGTACTGTCTTATGCCTGATATACTGAGGGTTTTAAGAATTATTCTAATATTTCAAATAATTTTTAAGTACTAATATTTATTTATCTCTATCTACTTATCTATTGATTTATTCATTCTACCTGTTTCTTGTTTTCCTCCTCCTCTTTCTTCCTCAATCTCTTTTTGTCTCTGCCTCTCTGTGATACACTCCCTCTCTCCCTCCACAATCCTTAACAAAAACAAAATGGAGCTCAAGTTCAGCCCTTTGGGATACTAGGCCAAGCAATAAAATCAATGCTGCTTTGGGAATCTGGGACTCATTTCCCATCCCTGCCATCTTATTTTCTTAGAAAGGACCATAGATATGTTGCTTTCTATCAATCTAAATTTTAGTTTCTTCATTTTTAAAATTAGTTGAGTTGTACTAATTTTAGTACTCAACACTGGTCTGACATTCCTTGGCCTAGTACTCTGAAATATGTAAGAACTCCTGAGAAATGACTATTGAAAGGCACAAAGAAGAATTATGAGATCCAATCCATTTCTCTAAAAAGTGGTTTTGGAGATCTTTATACCTTTACATCTAGTCTTGGAGTCTAGTTTTAACCCTTAGAACTCATGTGGCAGAATGAAATTAGGGAATCAGGAATGTTTCCAGTATTCTCTAGCAAGCACACCTTATAGCACATATTAAAAATGGTGGACTGGCTTCCAGGATTCATGGACAACTTTCCAAAGGGATGAAAAGCACCTACAACCAATTAACTGCTTGGGAGGTGGGTCATTAAGGGTTATACTACAAGCATCAGTAACAAAAATGAGCACACTGGGCATGTAATAAACATTGAAAAGACATATGGCATCTAGGCCTTTTCAAGCACCCTCATGCACTTAAATAGAGGCACCAATAATATGAATTTCAAAAGTGAACAATCGAGTACTTTACCTGGCTGAGACAAAAGTGGCGTGTAAGGGACTTTCGGTTCTATTGCACTCATTGGTGGAGGTAGCAAAGGATTAGCAAAGCTGCGGAGTGGATGAGTTGGTCGAACACAAGCCGTGGGGATGGTTCTGCTTGGTGCCTCCTCACTGTTAGAATGCTCAGGTTGAGATGGGGGCAGCATGGGTGGTTGTTGGGTAGTTGGTCCTTCACTCATTGCTGCAGTGGAGACAAGAAAAATCATTCATTATTCCTGGACAAAGTCTGTTTTCCTTAAGTCACTGGAAGAGTCTCTGAATCCATTCAGAGAGATGTGATAGGATGTGGTCAGTCTCTTCTCCAAGTTATGAACATTCTCATTCCTCTACCTTCATATACTTATGCAACATGATAGCACTTCCCCTTTAAACAATAGAAATAGATCCAGCAGGACAGGAATTTATCTTTGAGGAAGAGTAGTAAAATACATTGAGCACTGACTATGTTGCCTGAACTGTCTGGGCCCTCTAATCATAAGTGATGAAGAGAGAAAAAAGAGTTATTTCTCCTTTCATAAGCTGCAATGTCAGTGAAATTCAATGTACCAAACCCTGTTACCGCTGCATTATTTTCTACCAGCCAATATGCCAATTTTTCTGTGATTTAAACATGCCATGTCAACTGTCAAACAAATCAGAGTTACAGGATGCTCAGAGGCATTGCTAATAAAATGATACAAATAATAACCACTATCATTATCTTCCATAACAAAATGGAGACACATCTAGCTACACAGTTGTATGAGAGATGACTCTGCCAGAACAAGTTGCCTGAATGCAGAATTGCAATTTTTCCTCTTTGATAGTAAACCTTGTAATTTGCAGGCAGATTACAGTAGTTGAAGAGGTTCTGCACAGTTACTGTGACTGCCTATGGACATTTGGAAAACTTTGTATATGGAAATACACTTTTTTTTTCAGAGAACACAGGTAAGACAGAATAAAATGTTTTCAAAGAAGTTTCTCTTGTTAATGACAGTAAGTGAACTTGAACTATTCATTCATATTCAAAGTTAACAAGTCCAGGTTAAACTGCAAGTGAAACGAGCTGCATAGTAGGTTTAAGTGTTAATAAAATATTTTTTCTGATGACTTATTTCTTATTAAATTTTTGTCAGGTAAATCAAAATGTGGTGATAGAAGATAATATCTTGCTTTTGAAAGAGAATTTGTAACCAGGAAATATTTCAAGATAATTAGTGAGATAATTTTGAGACAAATCTCCCAGAGGCTCAATGAGGTCAGCAAAGTGCAGAGGAATAGAAAGAAAATCTGATAATGCTGAAGGGAATAGAGATTTAAGATACAAAAGATCAAGACATAGAATTAAAGTTATGCAGAAGTGAAATGTGTCTTCAGAAGGTATCTATACTCATTCTTCTATATTCAGAAGGGGTTAGAGGTCTTCTGGGTCACTGAGCAGCCTCCAGGCTTATCCCATTCAGAGATGAAGGTAGAAAGATACAAGGTTGGCTGAGCACAGGATGTAGACATACAACAATCAGAGCCAAAATACAGGCAGAGACTTGATAAAAGATTTCTTTGAACAAGGGAAATGAATCAAGGCAGCAAATGAGAGAATCCCAAAGAGTTTGAAGAGAAGTGCCTTATTTCCAGGCTAGGAAATCCTACCAAAGAAGAAAAAAAGAGCAAATGAATGCACACTATTAAGGATAATGTGTAGGGCTGCAAGCAAACCAGCAAATCCTTGGTGACGTTGGCTCTCAGATGCGAGGCTTTGGGTAGGTGTTATACAAGGCACTAAATTTCTTTTAAGACTGTAAAGGGGAGAGGAACACTTATGTGTTTGTATTCAAACAGTGTTGTATAATGAGATTTTTGTGAGTGTAGTTCTAGAGACAATGCAAATTACTTAGGTTTAACTTTGGACTCATTTAGTCTAATGGAGAATATGACCAATGGTCAATTTTTAGCCAAGACCCAACTTTGGGTATCTTTGTGCCACTGGCCTGAGAGAGATGACATCAAGTCCTCTCCTCTTTGTTCCCATAAGAAAGTTTGCCTTAATGTGGGCCTCCTTGCTAGCAATTCCTTCCAGTCACAGGTCTCAGAGGATGCTTGTGAAATGTTAGATTGCAGGCATTGCTTAGGAGGGAAAGGCAGGCTCTTTCAAGGGTTCCCAAGATAATTGTTGGGTTGAAGAAAATTATTCATCAGAAAGGGTTTGTAATTTCACAGGAGAAGTTCTGGGAAAGTGAAAATGCTTTGGCTTCCACTAGACTGGTCTCTGTGTTCCTCTGTGAATTGTGCATTTCACAAATGAGGTTCCTGTGGCTGTTTCTCTATGCTCCTCCTTTATCTCCAATGGGCCAGCTTTTTATTAAAGGGTCTATAAATGCCACATTAAAAATATTCATCCAGGGAAAGAAATTTCACAATTTTCCTCAAAAATCTGCCTTAAATAATTCTCTCTATTGAAGATGGATTGCAATTAACCCACATTATATTTTAAACACCGGTTTAGCCATTAAAGGGACAATAATATGTTTATGATGTTTCATTTCCTTCCTTCTTTCAATTTTTCCTTTTCTACCTTTTCTGCATTTTTGAAATAAAATCTACACTATACTTTCATCCGCTTGATCAATTCAGCTATTGATACTTGTGTATGCTTCACGAAGTTCTCGTGCTGTTTTTCAGCTCCATCAGGTCATTTATGTTCTTTACTAAACTTGTTATTCTAGTTAGCAATTCATCTAACCAACATTTTCTCAAGGATCTTAGCTTCCTTGCATTGGGTTAGAACATGCTCTTTTAGCTTGGAGGAATTTGCTATTACTCAGCTTTTGAAACCTACTTCTGTCAATTCATCAAACTCATTCTCTGTCCAGTTTTGTTCCCATGCTGGTGAGGAGTTGTGATCTTTTGGAGAAGAGGCATTCTGGTTTTTGGAATTTGCAGACAGTTTGGACTGGTTTCTCCTTTTGAGATGGAGTCTTGCTCTGTTGCCCAGGCTGGAGTGTAGTGGACATGGATCTTGGGCTCACTGCAACCTCCGCCTCCCAGATTCAAGCAATTATCTGCCTCAGCCTCGTGAGTAGCTGGGATTACACGGTGCCCACCAACATGCTCAGCTGATTTTGTATTTTTAGTATACAAGAGGTTTCACCATCTTGGCCAGGTTGGCCTTGAACTCCTGACCTCATGATCCACCTGCCTCAGCCTCTCAAAGTGCTGGGATTATCATGCAATGACCCACCACGCCAGGTCTCTTAAAGAATTTTCAACCCAGAATTTCATATCCAGCCAAACTAAGCTTTTATAAGTGAAAGAGAAATTAAAATCCTTTATAGACAAGCAAATGCTGAGAGATTTTGTCACACCAGGCCTGCCTTAGAAGAGCTCCTGAAGGAGGCACTAAACATGGAAAGGAACAACTAGTACTAGCCACTGCAAAAAACATACAATTGTAAAGAACATTGACACTGTGTAAGAGAACTGCATCAATTAAATGGGCAAAATTAACCAGCTAGCATCATAATGATCAGGAATCGAATTCACAATATGTAACGCCTAAATGGTAAACAGGAAATAAGGCTCTGAATTTAAAAAACACAGACTGGCAAATTGGATAAGTTCAAGGACCCATTCAGTGTGCTCGATTCAGGAGACCCATCTCACATGGCCAAGACACACAGAGGCTCAAATAAAGGGATGGAGGAAGATTTACCAAGCAAATGGAACACAAAAAAGGCAGCAGGGGGTTGCAATTCTAGTCTCTGATAAAACAGAACTTTAAACCAACAAAGATAAAAGGAGACAAAGAAGACCATTACATAATGGTAAAGGGATCAATGCAACAAGAAGAGCTAACTATCCTAAATATATATGCACCCAATGCAGGAGCACCCAGATTCATAAAGTAAGTTCTTAGAGACCTACAAAGAGACTTAGACTCCCATACAATAACAGTGGGAAACTTTAACACCCCACTGTCAATATTAGATCAACGAGATAGAAAATTAACAAGGATATCCAGTACTTGAACTCAGCTCTGGACCAAGCAGACCTAATAGACACTTACAAAACTCTCCAGCCCAAATCAACATAATATACATTCTTCACAGCACATCACACATATTGTAAAATTGATGTTCCTCTCTGCTTCTTCATTGGGTTCTTCTCAACAGTATATCATTCTTTACTTTCGTTGTTCCGGGTTGACACTTTTTGGTTATCTCTCACCCCCCATATCTCCCATCAGCTGTCCGACGCCGGCTCTGCCGTTCTCTTCCAATGTCAGTTTCTCGTCTCGTGGCCTTTCTCTGCACGCTGAGTGTTCTTCCCTTAACTTCTCCTCCCCGAGCTCCTACACTCTTAATGCACTCAGCTATCCTGGAGACTGGTTATGATTTTCTTCGTCTTTCATTCTGCTGAGGAGCCATCTTTACTTCCAATTATCGCCTGATCAAC